CTGATAATATGTGGGGGGAAGCTGTTTTATCTACATGTTATGTTCTTAATAAAGTCCCTCATAAGAATTTAGATAAAACCCTGTATGAGTTATGGAAAGGGTTTGTCCCTAACTTGAAAATTCTGAAAGTGTGGGGGTGTTTGGCTAAGGTTGGTCTACCTGATTTTAAACAAGTAACTATTGGACCCAAGAGTTTTGATGCTATTTTTGTTGGTTATGCTCAAAATAATATTGTGTATAGATTTATGTCTCTGAATGATAGTTCTATTTGTGAATCTAGAGATGCAGAATTTTTTGAGCATGGTTTTTTGTTAAATAATAATATGCCTAGTGATGTGCCTAATAATATTTCTACATCTATGTCTGTTAATTCTCATGTTGTGCCTTCTTCTAATGTTACTGCTAATGAGCATGAAAATGAACTTAGAAGGAGTAAGAGACGTAGAATTAAAGATAGCTTTGTTCCTAACTTTATCACTACTTTCTTGACTGAAAATATTGATCTTGATATTTGAGTGATGAATTAGTGTTAATATATCTAATAGAATAAGACTCTAAGACTTATAATGAAGCAATGAGGTCAATAGATGCTAGTTTTTAGAAAGAGGCCGTTAAAAGTGAATTAGACTCTATAGTTTCTAATCACACTCGGGACTGGTGTGATTTGCCTAAATGTTGTAAACCCATGAGTAGCAAGTAGATATTTAAGAAGAAATTGAGACCTGATGGTAAAATTGAGAAATATAAGGCTAGACTTGTTATTAGGGGCTTTAACGGAAAAAAAAGGCATTGATTACTTTGACACTTATTCTCCCTTGACTAAGATAGCGACTACTACAACTCCTGTCGCTTTAGCTGTTATTCATAGTTTAGCTTTACATCAAATGTTAAAACGCCTTTCCTAAATGGTGATTTAGAGGAAGAGATATATATATCTCTCAACCTGAGGGATTTGTGATCCAAGGGAATGTCTCTAGATGGTAAAGCAAATTAAGAATGTCTCTAGATGGTCTAAAGCAAGCACCTAAGCAATAGTATGAAATATTTAATATTATATTGGTGGGTAATGGTTTTGTGTTAATGCATCTGATACTTATGTTTATTCCAAGACGATTGGATCAGATGGTGTGATTATATGTCTGTATGTGGATGAAATGTTAATCTTTAACCCTAATGTGAACGTTGTTCATGAGACTAAAACTTTTTTGTCTTCTAAATTTGAAACGAAAAATCTTGGAGAAGCAGATGTGATTTTAGGGATTAAAATCAAAAGAACTTCTAATGGTTTTTCGTTGTCTCAGTCTCATTATTGAGAAAATGTTGAAAAGGTTTAACTGTTTTGATGTAGCTCCTGTGAGAACTCCTTATGATCCTAGCATACACTTGAGAAAGAATAAGGAATCCAGTATTTCTAAAACTTAATATGCTAAGATAATTGGTAGTGTAATGTTTCTCATGAATTATACACGACTTGATATTGCTTTTGCTGTTAGTAGATTGAGTAGATATACTCACAACACCAGTAGTGAACATTGGAATACTCTTCATCGTTTGCTAAGGTATTTGAGAGGTACTATGGATTGGTGTTTGCATTTTAATAAATTTTCTGTTGTTTTAGAAGGATTTTGTGATGCAAACAGAGTTACTAACAATGATGAAGTTAGCTCCACTAGTGGCTATGCGTTTACTTTGGGTGCCTGTGATATCTCATGAAAGTCTTCAAAACAGACTTGTATAGAATAATCTATTATGTAGTCTGAATTCATGGCTCTTAAGTTGGCAGGACAAAAAGTTGAGTGGTTGAGAAACTTATTGGCAGACGTGCCTTTGTGGGGAAGAGAAGCTTCACCAGTGTCTCCACATTGTGACTCACCGGTGGCAATTAGAATCGCCAAAAATAGTGCGTACGATGGAAAAAGAAGACATATCGGTAAAACTATTGTTAAAACATGGTATTATTTTCTTGGAATATGTAAGATCCAAAACAAATTTGGTGGATCCTTTAACCAATGGTTTTGGCAAGGAGAGTTATTCATGAAATGTCGAGGGGGATGGGGCTAAAGCGCATATATTGAGGAAGTATGGTGGATACCCGTTGTGGTCAAATGAAGCAATATGAGATCTCAATATGCACTATATTTTCTATCCCTTTAGCGTGTGGTAGTGCTTTATAAGGTTGAGCTTATTTTGCTCTTAATGATTCTATAGCCTTAAGAGGTATATGTGTAGATAGACTTGATGGAATTACCTAGGTTAGTGTAAAGGTGCGGTTGTCTTTTATGAAAGACTTGGGATGTCTTTCTAGAGCACTCATCAGATCCAAGGTATGTGCATGACGATAAAAACACTTTGTTAGTATCGCGGAGTTTGCATAAAATTAAGGATATAGTATATGTTGTGGGGTCTCAACTAATGTTCATTCAGTTCAAGAGTACTTCACTTTGTGGATGTTAGTTGTTACCCCATTTCACTACGTGTTAATTCAAATCGAAAGATATTGACACTTAAGTACATGTTTCTTCTTTTACCAAGAATTGCTCTTATTTTAATTTTATCTTTGCATTAGTGGGGAATTGCTGGTATTATTTATATTTGGTATTGCAAAGTCAAAAATTTCCTTGTAGTCCCTTTTACTTCTTTACTTCTTTGTCTTTTTTGAAAGACAAAGTTTCCCTCATCTATTGTGCAAAGTCTCTTTCTTCTCTTTATATTAAATTACTCCTTGTTGGACATGTAAAGAGCTAGTAAAAGGGAGTGGTCTCGCGCACATGAGAAATTGGTCCTAAAGGCAAAACGGGTCGATTGTCCCCTTCCCCCCCTGCGCGCGAGATATACGTGAAGCCTATTCCAAATCTAATTTTGCTGAAATTATTTCTTCATTTTCTTGGCTTACCAGGATATGTCCAAATTCATTCTCTTTGAATTGAATTTTGTAACGTCCTTTGTAACTGCCATGCTTTAATTTTTGTAACAGCTGTGTTCAATTTATGTAACAGCCTGTGGTTAATTCTTGTAACATCTCCATCTTTAATTTCTGTAACAGCTACAGATTAATTTCTTCATATGTAACTGTCCAAATAGCTTTGCCTATAAAAGGCAGTCTTCTTTGTGAATTATCCAACACAGAAAACACCTTTATCTTCTCTCTTTTTTTTTTGGGTAATTGTTTTGTGCAATTTTCAAACTTCCAACCACGAGTGCACGTGTTTAGAAGTACTGTAGAATCTTGGGGAGCGGCCGGTCTTAACGATTTGTACCTAATCGGGCCGAAATCGCTTTCAGGGCAGTGGCTTGCCATGACATAGTATTTTTCGATGAATTGTTTCATTTCGTTATTCTTCTTGGTCAATATTATCTACTAATTTTTCTTAAATTGTCAAGCAGGAGAAGGGATTAATATTTATTTATAAACTCATTCAACTGGTTACTACCTAACCAACAGTAAACTTAAGAAGAAGTTGTCATTCTTAATAATTATCCAGCATCACAATGGCCTCATCATAACTTATTATGATCATTCAATTGATTATAGCCTGGCACATAGGGTAATGTTCTAGCGTAAAGCCTCACCCAAACCCAGTGAAATTCCTTAATGACTTCTTTAATTAACATGAAAACTTCTCGCCAGCTCAACAAGTGACAAAAAAAAGGACACAACTTCATCATCCTATCTGTAAATTGTCTACATTACCAAGATTAGCACGCTTCTTTTTTATAACCGAGAAGTTTTCGAAGCAAACATCATATGGTATGAAAGTTGGTAAATAATTAACTTGTCCTTCTATCCTTAGCCGGAAGACTTGATCGTTTTTTATTTTCATATATATAAAATTAAACAGGTTTTCCCCTCACTCTACTGAATTAGTTTTTTCTTTTTGAACTTTTCTTGAGATGAGTGGCCCGTAGGGAAAATTAGAAGACGTGAGAAATTTTGGTGAGATTGGTTTCGAAAGTGACAGTTTGATCCACTCTTTTAATTTATATACGTTTAGTGCGATTCCATGTTGCAAAGTAGAATTTCTAATTCCTTTTCTTGAAAATTTCCTCTCTTTTTTTCTCTATTTTCGGAGATTTATGTCAGTATCACGCCACAAAATCGTCTGCAAAGATAGTGCGCATGAAAATATAATTCACAATTGACCCCATGTGGCATCAACTGATGTCACTGAAAAAAAATATTAAAAAAAACACTCAAAAGGATGGCATGCCAAAAGGCACAAACCAAAAAGTAATCCAAGAAAACAAGGGGGGAATTATGGGTCCCTTTCACAATCCATTACTAACTGCCCAGGCCCCAGATATCCTGAATGGTGTCTCATTTTAGTACAAACATTCACTGCTTAATCAATTACTATAAAATAAGGATTAACCTTTTTGACAGCTAATTTACCTTCTACAATTTTCTAACAACCACCCTGGTCTTAGTACAGCAACATGTACTTTAAGAAGTCTTTCTTTGTACAGTGGAGGATTTCAAAAGAGCTTTCTTTCATAAAATTATGCGTGTTAGTAAGTAGGAGTACCTTTTAAGTACTCCCTCCAGTGGCGGCGCTAGGATTTTCATTAAGTGAGTCAAAATATAAGGAAATAAACTCACCAAGAAGTCAAGGGGTGCCAATACATAGTATATATACATATTATTAACCTAACTATACAGTGTAATTTTCCGACTAAGGGGTGTCTGTTGACACCCCTTGAGTGCATGTGGCTCCGCCACTCCCTCCATTCCATTTTTTGTCACGCTATTTTCTTTTTAGTCGATTTCGAAAAGAATAACACATTATTGTATCTGAAAACTCTTTAACTATAAACTTCTCAGTATACCCTTAACGATATCCTCTTTAACTATAGAAATACCATAACTTGTTTAAGACTTCAAACTCTAGTGGTACTTTTGATATGTGCTGAAAGTCTTTCTTTCTTAAACTGAGTCAAGTCAAATACCATCATAAAGTGGAAGGAAGAGTAATATTTGGCTCACAAGAAAAAGAAAGAAATGGAGAAATGCATGTAATTAAAAGGATTTGCACTTGAAAGTTAAGTCACTTTCTTAAGGAGTGGGGGGGACACTACTAATTCTATGATATTATAACCATGCCAAAACTTTTTTCCCCTATCATCTTGTTTATACTTTACAAACAAAGAAACCTAACAACAATACCTGATGTGAAAAACATATAGTGACATTCCACACATGAAATTCTATGTGCTTGTTTTTTTAATTTCCTGGTTAGCTTATGGCTATTGCACTTCCAATGTTCACATTGGTTATCAAGTAAGTCTTGCTATACCAACAACATATAGCAAAGGTTTCATAGGCAGGGCTTTTTTAATGGAAACTGACAACCAAATGACACCAAATTTTAGAGCTGGAATCAGTGTTGAAGCCATTAATGAGAAATACACATGTTCACTTGATGTTTTTTTGGGAGATGTGAAGGTTTGGAGTTCTGGTCATTTATCACAGTTTTATACAATAGATAAATGTGCACTTCAGCTGACTCAATATGGAGACTTACAATTGAAAGGTCAAGATGATAAAATTGGATGGAAAGCTGGAACTTCTGGACAAGGTGTGAAGGTAATTAATGAATCTCTTCTATAGGAATTTGAAGTTTTCCTCTTTTTGGTTTTTAGTCCAAAAATATATAAGTACTGTATGGATTTTGACTAAATTGTATATGCAACAAACAATTGCCTTTTCTTATAAAAAATAACATTGCTTCTACAAGTTTGAGGCAGAAAAACTAAGGTGTAGAGTTTTAAACCACTAAGTTATTACTTCCTCTGTTCCATTTTATACAACACTCCTTCTTTAATTTGTTTCAGAAAAAATGAAATATTTCTATATTTAGAAACTCTTTAACTTAAAGCTTTCGGTCTTACTCTTAGTGACATACTCTTATAGTCATAAAAAGTTCTATAGGTACTTTTCGTATGTGCTAAAAAATCTTTCTTTTTTAGTTTTTTCAACTCCGTGCCTAGTCAAACACCGGCATATAAATTGAAACCGAGGAAGTATGCTAATATTTGGTTGTCTGATATTTGATTCTGCTGCAGAGGCTACATTTACTTGGGTCAGGTAATTTGGTTTTAGTTGATGCATTGAACTTGATAAAATGGCAAAGTTTCAACTTCCCAACTAATATTATGCTTTGGGGCCAGAGACTTAGCTCAAGAACTCGGTTAACTTCTTTCCCTAGCAACTCTAGTTTGTCATATTCATTTGAAATTCAGTATGACAAGATTGCATTGTACTTGTACTCTGGAAAATCGAAGTACTCGTACTGGGAATATACACCTTTGGAAATGAATGACCTAAATATTACATTCGTCGAATTAACTTCAAATGCGTTGGAGATATTCAACAACGAAAACCATAGAATTGGACGGATAAAATCGGACAAGCCAGAGCCTGTAAGATTTTTAGCATTGGGGAATAACACAGGGAACTTGGGATTTTACTATTACTCAGCTGACAAAGGAAAGTTTGAAGCTTCATATCAAGCACTAAATACAACTTGTGATCTTCCTTTGGCATGTAGACCTTATGGTATTTGTACATTTTCAGAAGAGTGTTCTTGCATAAGGCTAATAAAAAGAGGAGATGGTTTGCTTTCTGATTGTGCTGAGAATGTAACTGAGGGATTATGCGGCAGAAATGAATCCCAAATGCTAGAGTTACAAGGCGTTACGAGTGTATTAAGAAGCAATCCTTATAAAGTCAATGTTAGCAAAGAAGTATGTGCAAATTTTTGCATGGATAATTGTACATGTGTTGCAGCATTACATTTTTCAGTTGATGATTCTGAGGACGATCCGACAAAATCGGGAGAATGCTATTTGTATGGACTAGTGAGAGGAGTTAAACAAATTGAAAGGGATGGTAGATTGAGTTATATGGTTAAGGTACCAAAAGGAACTGATCAAGATCATGGTGAACATTCTCATTGGAAAAAATGGATTGCAATTGTGGTAGGAGTGGTTGATGGAGTTGTTGTGTTACTTGTTTTGGGAGGGATTGGATACTATGTTATTCGAAAGAGAAGAAAATCATGTGTAGATACTGGTCCCAACAATTGAACTTGTATAGTTGAGAAATTCTTTTTTTCAAGATCACATTTTTGTTCATGGTGATACAAATTGTAACAGAGAAGTTAATTGTGACAATTTCAAGTCCATATCCAAAGAATAGAAACTTGCATACTTACATGCAGATAGAAGTGAATTGATGAAAATAACCTATGACCAAATGTCAAAGATTGAGCTGAAGTTACAACAAATAGCAGAGTCAGGTATGCAATCTTTTCAGAATTAAATGTTATTATGCCTAGTGCATTGTTTAAAATGTATATCTCAGTCATCTGCAATACTGAACAGCTAAGTTGCTCTGACATGGCAGTTAAGGTGCCGCACTCGTATTGACACGACACTAGTATGTGTGTGGTATGGGATCCATACCGGATCTGGTCGAACAGTTTTGGGTACTTGACCATGACCGGATCTAGAGGTATTTTAAATTTTTCTCTTCTTTGAATTATATTTAGCCGGATCCCCACACTTGTATCCCTACTAGGATCCGTATCCCTGAATCTTATAATTTACATCTCAAAGATTCCGACCTCTAGATCCGCACTCGCACACCATGTTTGAGCAACTTAGCTGAGCAGATGAAAATGATGTTGCTTGAATGTTGGACGGGAAATGGCTACAAGAACTAAATGAAATTCTGATATTTTTACTTGAAAAATTGTGCAAGCTTGACTTACAAATATACGGATCGTCATCAGCCAAATTGTACCTAGTACAAAATATATAAGTAGTTTTTTTCACTCAATTTGGAAACTAAATCTTTCAGTTCCTTTTTTATTTTTGCCTTAAGTTCTAATCTAGACAAGAATTTCAGATAGTTAGATCAGAACTGGCGTCTTGCTTCATCTAGTTTTTGTTTGCTCATGCCATTTGCGGAACGCGAGATATTTTGTGCATCAAGCTCCATTTTCAATGACTATTTGGCTTGAACAAACAAAACACTTGTCGTTTTTGGTGCTTAGGAAATAGCATACCAGGTCTTTTCCCATTTTATTGATTTGCTCTTTAAAAAATCTACATCTACGAATTGCAATTCTTCACTTCATCACTTTCTGTTTTCTCTCCATTTTTCTCTTTCTAGTTTTATTGGATGTCCCCGAATGAACCTTTTCCAGAGTATTTGCATCGTTCACTCCTATTTAAATGGGAAAGATTCATAATTACACTATTTATAAAAGGCAAAATACATAAATTGTGCCCTGAATTTATCCGAAAAATTCGGTTGCATACTGGAACTTTACGGGCGTTCAAGACTTCAAGTACCCCTTATTCTTGTTTGAAGTATTATTAAAACCCTCCTAAAAAGCTATTACCATATTTTGTTTTGGTGGTGTATACTTGCACAATTTTTTCATTTTTTACTATTTTTCCAATAAACAAACACTCCTTCCCCTTTGTCTCTCTCCTTTTTTATTTTTTTCTGATCTTCTCTATTGTCTCTCTCTTATTTCTCCAATAAGAAGAAGTTGAACAGAGTAATAGAACAATAATGGTTTCAGCAAAAGTGTAAGCCATGTCTATTTACTAGAATAATTGCTTGTATGTTTTAACAATAGTGTTGATAAAGAGAAAGGGGTTAAAGGCAAGTGAATCAAAAATGATCCAAAACCCTATGCAAGCTAGTATGAACTGTGAGAATAGTATGAAAGTTAAGATGAAAAGTGGAGTAAATCACCAAGACAATATTTAGGATATCAGCCAAATAGAATAACACACTCTTTTATTAATTCGAGTTTTTCCTTCGCAGTATCTTACACACAGAGATTCAGAGAGATGGGGGAGAGTGATAAGGTTGCTGGTGTTCTAATGGGATTGAGCTTCGCTTCAGTCACGATCCAAAATTCCAACCTCAGGGCCGTGATGGCAGCTAAAAGCCAACATTAGTACATAACTATTCATTTGAAACACTTTTAAATAAAACAAATTCATAAGAAGGTAAAGCTGAAAACATCAATGTATAAAGAATAAACTCCGAATACGATGTCTAGTCTAATCCCGGAATCAGGTGTCACAAGTACGTGAGCTACTAAAATAAACTACTACAATCAAGGTTTGAAATGAAAATACAACTGTCTAAATTAGATAAATAATACAAAGAAATAAGAAGGGAACTCCAGCGTCTGCAAACGCCATGCAGCTCTACCTCAAGTCTTCGTGAAAAGATAGTCCGCGCGAGCCTCCACTAACCGCTTTTGGGACCAACACCAGAATCTGCACAAGAAGTGTAGAAGTATAGTACAAGTACAATCGATCCCATGTCCTCTGTAAGTGCCGAGTCTAACCTCGACGAAGTAGCGACGAGGCTATAACAAGGCACCCACTATAAACCTATACAAGTATAGTAAAAACAACAGAAATAGAGGAAACAACATTTGACATATAAACCAGAACAATAAATACACAACAGAGGGCCCCCGTATAACATCTAAGCTCAATTTCTCAATAACAATCCGGATATAGAAACAACAGCTAAACACAGTCTTAACATATCTTTTCCGTTGCGGCACGCAACCCGATCCCCAAATATATATATATATATATATATATATATATATATATATATATATATCATTGTGGCATGCAACCTGATCCCAAACAATAATACCAATATCTGTTGCGGCGTGTAACTCGATCCTATATAATAATACTAATATCTGTTGCGGCGTGCTACCCGATCCCAAATAACAATACCAATATCCATTGTGACATGCAAACCGATCCTAAATAATAATACTATCCGTTGCGGCATGCAACCCGATCCCAGTCAATAATAATATGTATGTACAAACTACATCCAACTATGGCATATTTCACAATGAAGTGTAATAAGGGAATTAAACAAATAAAACATAAAGCCGATAAAAATGGCTATCTAACGTCATACTAAAACATAAGGCAAGTAGAGGCAATTAAATAATAAAGGCACGGGTACATGGAAACATAGAGGAAATTAAGGCATGTAATGAACAAATGCATGAATTTAATAAGTAAGGGCAAGTAACCACTAAATCATTATTAACATAGTAGCATGGAATAGATGAAGTCATGAAATAATAGAAGACAACAACTAAATATCCCAACCCGGTATGCTTAACCCATTATGTCACGACCCAAAATCCATTAAAGGTCGTGATGGCGCCTGACACCTCGGTCAAACAAGCCAACATCAAATAATTAATTAAACTCTCATTTAATATTTTACGAACCATAAATTTTCTTTAATTTAACTAGTAAAAGTTATCTTCACTGAATAAATAAAAGTGTTTACAACTTTCAATACTAAATATCACATAATCACCCCAGAACCAGGTGCCACAAGAACAATCCTCATATCTGGAGCAAACCTCCACAGTCCACAATCCAATAAACCGAGTGCCCTCCATGCATAAATTCTCAAATTAATGATACTACCACAATCTTCACACTTGGTTTAAATCTTCAATCAATCAGGTGACTACATATCACACTTATACAATCTCCCCATGGGGTACGCTCCCACGATCTTCCGCACTAGGTAACAAGTCTGTACATCCACACCACCGGTTACACTAGCTGCAAAGCAAATTAATAATCCATAACCAGGATGCAAAGCCTCCGACATAAAATACCGATCTCAAGTGACGCTGAAGACAATACCAACTTACTCCAAACATCCAAAACCCCTTCCTGCTCATCCGTGCTCGGGACATCTTTGTCAACACCGAACCGCAACCTTGATCCTCACTTTCAAACTTCATAGCGCTCACTGCGCCTAACATGCCAATATGCGATAGTACCAAAATTTCATCATAACTCCTGAACGACTAATAGGGTAAACACTTCATCATATATAAACTTTTTACTTAACTCATTCCAAGAGAACCATAGCAACACACGAGTGAATTCTCATCACCGTAGAACATGCAAATCCTCAAGTAGTGGTCTAAACCACCATAACTCTTCTGGGATCCGCCTACACATAACAGGCCATAATACTTGAATACTTCCAAATTAAATCAATTACAGTAGCCATCGAGCCTTGCACGTACCGTCACGAATCACATGCATAATCTAATCACGCTGGAGGAACTGATCGCTGCCACCATCATGCCAATTCAACCATGGCTAACCGATCCGACTTCTTCTAACTTATCCTTAACTTGCCTTAGAAATAATAATATTCCAGTCAACACATAACGAATTCAATCCGCACCCATCCTGAGTGGCCTTGTATCACGAGACCATGTTGTCTCAAATCCCACGAACCATCTCATACCTTCCTTGTGCGCATATTCACATCCTCAACTGGTACACCCATTTTGATAATTCCTCTACGAATCCGAAGTCTTTTTCTCTTTTTCCTCCCAATGCTACACTGCAAGTCGAAAACATCATAGAACATTCCGAGCCTCTTATCATAATCTGCTGCAAAAGCTCGATTCTAAACCATACTGCGGGCTTGAATCCTTAGGCACCGCATTTTAACCTTTGAATTCACTAGGACCGTTGCTGAGAGTCACCCACTCTAGCTTGGTCCCGAATATAATCAACTCCAAGGCTCCGCTGGCACATGAACACTCTCTCAAAGAAACACCCGGCTGAATCACCTTTCTTGTAAATCACCTCTACGTGAAGCATAAACCCTGAGTCTTCTCAAAGCCTGAACATAAATTGACAATTCCAATTATAGCACACATTCTTCAAATCCTTTACTCGAATCACCACTGATGTTCTCTTTACTTAGTCGTAACAATCCACCAATATGCCGATCACCAGAAATCTAACAAATAGATAACCATACAATCCAATCGCAGGGGCTGGGACTCTCCCACTTAGCTTGAAGCTACCATTACACAACTCTGGAACCCATCAAGATTCTTTCTTCATCATCGACATGATCTTGCACCACCAACTCGCCTAATTCCTCTAAATCCTTCTCTTTGACCCTTCATGAACACTCTAAATCACTAACCACATTCACCTATCCGGCCTCTTACCGTATAGCCGGTAAAATCCTTAGAAGCTTCGCCAACCACGCGACCGCTGACCTGCTCACAGGAGATAAACCACCTGTGGAAGTTACACGCCGACGTCTTCCAACGTCGCTCCACGGTGTACAATCACTAAGATACCAATAACCCATCCTGAGCCCGTGCTCGTTCGATAGCTGTACAAGCCCATTCACTCCTCATGGACATCAACTAAATGTGCGACAATACCTTCCAATCCCAAGTCATGTTGTATCCTTCTTCTTATCAAGCAAATACTTTTTGTTTTATCAAATCTCCCGCCATATAATGGCCGATATTTCAAATTAAGTCCATAGATCCAGTCACTGTCCACCCTGAATCCCAAATCACTCTAGACTTTTTATCGGGTGTGTAGTCATCCTTCCACATAACCCATACGCTATTCTGCCACTCTGCCGCTTTGATCAAACTCACTCCTTTAAACAACTACTCGACTCCTGTTTCCCGCACTTGGCCTCCTAGAAGTTTAATCAGCACAAGACACTTCCCACATGTTCATCCCCATCCTTCGCTGCCCAACTGTTGCCTTAAATCAAAATCTATCTCTGTGGCACTTGAACCAATAGATCGTTACTCCGTCAACCCAAACCTGAACATACATAGTCCGATTGTCTTTCCTCCGCCAGAAATAAAACACTGAATCTCTGAA